TGTTCCTTTCTGAGGACTTCTGGATCCCTGTAACCAATAAAAGTAATAGTGAAGGGAGAACCTTCTTTGGTTCCTGGAGTTTCCAAAAGGATCCACTGTGGCCTAAACAACAGGAATCTGTCTCACTGTACTAGAGGTTAGCCAGACTGGCTCCTCCTGAGGGCTACATGGGCACTTGGTCCACAGGGCCCTTCTCCCTTCCAGTGGCTTGCTGTCAATCGTGTATCATGTGATCTCTGCCTTCATCCTCACATGGCCTTCTCTCTATGAGAGACTTCATGTCTTTCCTCTATGTGTGTCTGTTATCTGTTTTTGGTGTCCAATCTTCTTTTTTTTAATTTCATTTATTATTTTTATTTTATGTGTATGAGTGTATTGCCTGCATATATGTGAGTACACCTGTGTCATGCAATGCCATGGAGGTCCGAAGAGGGCTTTGGATTCCCCTGGAACTGGAGTTAAGGACAGTTCGTAGCTGCCATGTGGGTGCTGGGAATTGAATCTGGGTCCTCTGCAAGAGCAGTCAGTGCTGTTAACCACTGAGCCATCTCCCCAGCCCTTATTTTTTCATAAGGACAATATTGTCATACTGATTCAGGTCGACACTAATGACCTATTTGAACTTGAAGACTTCTGTACAGGTATGTCCAGTGATACTTAGAACTATGGAGGGTTAGGACTTCATTATAGTCTTCCTTATATTCTGGAGATACCATGCAACATTATCAAGGTCCTTGGACTATTTTCATTAGTTCTGAGTATAGATAATTCAACAGGGGATGGGGAGGTGGCTCAGAAGAATAAAGCACTTCCCACACAAGTGTGAGGACCTGACTTTGAATCCCCAGAACACACATGAAAGTCAGGCATGGTAGTGCATGTCTGCCCTTCCAGCACTTTTACAGTGATATGGGAGTGGAGGTAGGACAATCCTCAGAAGTTCGTGGCCCAGCTAGCTTCCCGTATGCAGTGGAAAGGCAACAAAGAGGGAAGGCAAAAACAGACACCCAGAGCTGTCCTCTGACCTCTACCCTTGCACTGTGACACATGCACACATATACATACAAATTTAAACTTTTCTCTATGGTGACTTTTTTTTTTCTGTAGTACTGAGGATTAAACACGTGGTCCTATACATGTGAGGCAAATGCTTTACCGATAAACAATATACCTAGCTCTCTAGGCTAACATTTAGATATTTTCATTTTTGAGACAACATCTCAACTCTGTAACCCAGACCGGCCTGGAACTCACTATACAGCCCAGTCTGGCCTCAAACAGCAATCGTCCTGCCTCAGCCTCCCATGTGCTGGGATTACGGGTGTGAGTTTTTAATAAATAGTTTGCTGAAAACATAGCCTCTAGAGATTACCTGGGTTTGATTCCTGGCTCTGCCACTTACTGGGGGCCTGGTGGGCAGCCACTCTACCTTCTAGCTCCTCATCTATACAATGGGAAAGATAATGATATCTGTACTTCTCAGGGTTGATATAAAGAATAAGTAAAAATACATTTTAAATGTCAGCTCTTATTACTATCAATATATAGCTTATCACGCTTGGGAAAGGCACATGTACTGAAAGCTTATAAAATACCTACCAAGTACCAGACACTACTCCAAATGCTGACATAGCAACTCACTGACTTGTCACAACTCAGGCAGGAGGGTGGATTCTGTTGTCATCCGTTTTGCAGAAACAAAATCTAAGCCCTAGAAGATTAACTCACAGGGGTACAGCCCCACAGTCCCATGGTAGGAAAGTCAGGAGTGCAGCTCAGGACTGCTTGGCTCTGGGCCTTTGGGAGCCACTGTGACTGACTGCCTCCCCAGGAATAGGAAAGGGTCTTGTAATTCTGAAAAGAATCATGAGTCATCACCTTCCCTTGCTCTTAACCTGAGTCTGTAGACATTTTCCATAATATCAGCCTGTGCCTAAGAAATACACTCATATCTTAAAGCAAGCCCCCATCAGTCAGATTCTGCATTCTTATGGCACAATACTTGACACAAACAACTTAACTGGATGAATTGTTTATTTTGGCTCACAGTTCAGATGTTCAGGCTATGGCCACTTGACTTTGTATTTCTGAGTCTGGAGTGAGGTAGTATGTGGTGGGAGTGTGACAGAGGGAATTCTTCCCCTCATGTCTGACAGAAAGCAGAGAGAGAAGCAGTCAAGGATAATACCCTCAAGAACCCTCCCCTAATGACCTACTTCTTCCTGTTAGATCCTGCCTCCCAAAGTCTCCACACTTCCCAAAATACCACCACTAACCTGGGGACAAAGCATTCAAACACATGGGCCTGTGGGGGGCATTTCAGATTCAAACAGCACCCCATCTTAAAGGGCATTTGTCCCTCTCTCCTTCAAACCCCAGGCTGGCTTTGGAAGGAGTCCCCACGTGCAGGAGGACCAGGAGGAAGCCAGCCAGCTGCCTTCCACCCCAAGAAATGGCAGACTTCTCTCTGACATCTCTTTGGTTTGTGTCATCTGTCTAGGGCACTTGGTCAGAACCTCTGCACTGACAACAGGGACGCTCTGTCTTTGAAGAAAGAAGAACGTCCCTCTGCAGCAGCTGTGAGCCTCTCACCAGTGACACAAGTGGAAGTGCTTCGCTGCGTGTGCCTGGAGAACACAGGAACTCCAGCGGCTCCCGGAACCCCTCCCAGAGGACCGGTGGGAATTGTTCATAGTGCCAAAGTCCTACTGCTGCGTTTTCAATGGGTCCCTGTACATAGTTTCTGCCTTTGCCCCTCCCTTGCCTCTTGCTATATTCGAACTGATTTGTACAATGTGGGAATTTTGTTACCTTTTTAATCGAGGGCAACTTCCTTTTCCAGCACTACCGTGGTAAGGTATTTTCTTTTTTTCCAGGAAGGAGGGCTAACCACATTGCTTTTCTCTTTTTTCCTTTTTGTATTTTTACTGTATTAATGAGGGGGAGGGAGTGTTAGTATTAGTACCACTATATCTACTGGATTTTAGGTAGGAAGAATTTATTTTTCAAGATAGCTTGACATTTGGAAGATTTCTTGGTGAAGAAGGTTGGTCCTCTGGCTCATCTTAGAATGGGTTGACAGACAGCAGGTCTTCCACATCAAACCCATGCCCAGTTCTTCCCGCTGCTGCTTTTTGGGGACCCTGCCTCAGCCCCATGCAGGCTTTCTGAATTGCCAAGAGGTGAATCTGGCTGCTCAGCTGCTTGGCAGTTAGGCCCAGACAGCGCTGGGGGAATCCAGGAACAGGTGGCTACCCTCTTCACATACCTTTTTAAATACCAGCAGAAAGGGCTCCCACAGCTCACATCATCATGACTCATAAAGTGAAAAGAAACAGTGATCTTCCCGTCTAGATGGCACAAAGCTGAACATCTCTGGTTTTCTTTTCTCTTCTTCACTGCCTTTTCCCGGTGTGGTATTTGACGAGATGTCCACTCAAAGCCTCACCATGAATTGATTTTGTTTGTTTGTTTGTTTGTGTGTTTGTTTTGGGCCAATTTTAGATACCTGAGTGCACTTTTTTTTTTTAGCTAGTCTTAACTTTTAAAGAAGGAAAAGCCAGAGATCTATCTGGTGTAAATGTCGCAATACGAATTCTGTTTGCGATCCCTGTTCCCCTCTCCCATTCCCCATTCCCCTGTCCCCCCACTTGAGTACACTGCAGAAATACAATGCTAGGGAGTTTGAAGAGAAACCAATTTTTCTAACTTGTTGTTCATTTGTTGTAACCCAATAAAGCAAAGTCTAAACATTTTTATAACCTTCCCTCTGTTCCTCGTTCATTGCTATCCTATCTGGTCCTGAGGGCCTCAGCCTGGAATCCCGACTTGACCACCTCCCATTGCCAACTCATTATGGTCACATTTTTTAAGGTTCTTTTAAACTATATGTATGGGGGCAGATATGTGCACATGAGTGCAGATGTCAGTGGAGGCCAAGAGGCATCAGAGTTATAAAAAGTTGTGAATCACCCAGTGTAGGTACTGGAAATTGAACTCATGTCTTCTGCCAGTATACACTCTTAATCACTTGAGAAATCTCTCCAGACCCATGGCCACATTTCTTGCTGCCATCCTAAGAATAACTGATGTTATAAGCAGGCCTTTAAAAACAGGCCATTTGTGTAGAACTCATATCTCATTGACACAGAAGAGGAAGTTTCTAAGCCCTCCCTTTTCCAGGATAACAAATTGATCCTTAAAACATTGCAGAGGAGAGCATCCAGATGCAAATAAGATATTCCATTCCCTGTTCACTCTTGGATGTCCTGGGGTAAGTTACTCCCTTACCCTGAGATACTGGTGACTGGCAAATGACACTGCCATTATTTTTTCAGAGATGTAGAGTCATGTGTTCATGCCCGACATTCATCTAGACTCTCAAAGTTGAACAGGCACCAAGAACAACAGATCTGGGGTGGGCCCCAGAACACGTACTGCTGGCTAGGTCCCCAGGGAAGCTACCATTGCTGGTCCAGAGACCTCACTCTGAGAAACTCTGGTCCACAGGTTTCATTTTAACAGGGACTTCCAGATGTTGGGTCAGTTCAACTGACCTAAGCATTCTTCAGAAAGGGGGGAAGACTTACCCTTCCTCCACTTCCTTAAATCTGAGAAACACTAAAAAATCAGAAATTCAGAAGAGCCTGACCTCCACCTGGAGACCCCCTCTGATTTCCCCTTGAAGTCTCCCTCCCTCCTGTGGGCTCCAGGCCCATGACCACCTCTTCTCACCACCACCCTGGGTCTCACTGAGACAGCTTGTCAATCCTCCTCACTGAGAGCTTAGAGACTCCCCATAACTGCACATCATAAATGGCCCAATTCTCCTTGCCAATCAGCCATCTAAAAATAATAATATAGCTATGGTCTTTAATTGAGCACTTACTATGGGATTAGGCTTTGGGGTCAGTGCTTTACACTTATTTTTCTTAGCTTATCTTTACAAATCTTTCATCGAACACATGAGAAAACAAGATTAATATGGTTTTTCTAACAAGAACAAAGTCATACAGATACTAAGTGATTATTCTAGAATTCTGGCAGTTTTGCCTGTTATATGTCCCTTCCTTACTTCTTGTTAAAATGGCCTTTTTCCTTCCCATCCCATAAGGACCATTGAAGGTACCTGCTCCAGTACACAACCAAAGCCTGGCCAATCATGATCCTAGCCCCAAGTATGGCGTGTGGACCAAGCAGAATCAGCAGAGCCTGTTCTCCAGAGGTGGAAGCTGGGCCTGTAAGCTCACGCCTTCTGCTGTGAGGCTAAAGGAAGACACTGTGAGCCAGGCACCCGCTGCTGCCATTTCCCTGGCCATGGGAAAGAAGCCTTTTGGCATAAGTTTAAAAACTCGGTCATGGGGCTGGAGAGATGGCTCAGTGGTTAAGAGCACTGGCTGTTCTTGCAGAAGATCGGGTTCAAATCCCAGCACCCACATGGCAGTTAACAATTGTCCGTAACTCTAGGGGATCCTATACCCTCTTCTGTACTCTGTGGGCACTGCATGACATGGGTACACTTACATACATGCAGGCATAATACTTATACACATAAAATAAAAATAAATAAAATTAAAAATAGATACACACTGTTCTTGCAGAGGACCCAATTTCAGTTCATAGTTCCTTCATCCAGTGGCTCATGAAAACATGTACATATGGGTCAGTGAAATGGCTCAGTGGGTAAAGTGCTTGCCTCACAAGCATGACTACCTGAGTTCAAGCTCCAAAAGCTATGTAAAGGTGGAGGGAGAGAACCAACTCCACAAAGTTGCCTTCTGACCTACACACACATGGCACACCCACATTCATACATCATATGCACACACAGTAAAAATAAAGTTTTTTAAAAAAAAACTCAAGCCAGGCAAGGTGGCACACACCTTTAAACCAGCACTCGGGAGGCAGAGGTAAGCAGATCCTCTGTGAGTTCAAGGCCAGCCTGGTCTACAGGGTGAGTCCAGGCAGCTGGAGCTACAGGGAGACCCTGTCTCAAAAAGCCAAAAAAACCCTTCATATATGAAAGCATCTATTTTTAGAGTATTATAGCTGTTGGAGTATCATTCAGCTGGCCAGCTGCTATAACAAAGAAGCCCCAAGATGCAGCATTCCAAACAAAATTGAAGGTAATTTTTCATCTTGGGCAACGGTGATGGGTAGACCATCAGATAATCTACATAGCCCTCCAAGGACCTAGGTTGTCAGGCAGCTCTGCCATCCTCAGCAGGTGCCTCTCATCTCTAAGTCAAAGCTGACTGCTTCAATTATCCACATGACCAAAAGCTCCCCACAAGTCTGCTTCTGCATTCCTGTCCTCAGGAAGTATGGAAAGCAAGAAAGTGTAGGAATAGAATTTATCCTTTCTGTTCATATCCCAGTGACCAGAAGCTAGTCATGGCAACACACAGCTGGAAGGAAAGCTGGCCAAGTGGCCAAGAACCAACAGAGGAGGGGTCCCATCCCTAAGAGGAAAAGGGGGACTGGTATCATTGTCAGACAGTCAGCCTCAATGAAATTCAGGTGTATCTGACCTCAAGTCCACCCTTCCTAGTTATACGAGCCATGGTGAGCTATTTTTCATTTCATCTGGTTTAAGTTGGGATTCTGGAGCTTAAATCCAAGAATTTAGAATTTATTCAAGACTTTATAAGGCCAAAGCCTACTCTTATCCACCATATAGAAAGTCTCCAGTGTCTAGAAAATCACCTAGCCCATCAGTCCCTGTCTGATGTCCACCTTCATGGTGACAGGTCAAGGTGGGGAAAGTCTATCTCCTAGGCTGATGCTGCCAGGGGCTTTGGGGATTAAATCAAGGGGGAAAGCACTTGAGGAAGGGGAATTCAGAGTCATATCTAAGGAAGGGGTGCTTGGAGTGTACATCCAACCAGATGAGAAGAAGGTAGGCAAAGTAAAGTCTGGAACAGGGGCCACAGACTCAAGTCAGGTCACAAGGAAGGGAGCAGGTGATTTCCTTGCTTCCACCATGAGTGAGGCTGGCCTAGGACTATCTTTCTTCTTCCTGAGCTCTGGTGATATAAAGAGGCAGAAGGTGACGTGGTCAAGGGCACGCTCTGGAGTCACACTATCTAAGGTCGAATCTTTGCTCTACCACTTCCTAGCTGAATGACTTTAGGCAAGTCAGATGTCCTCTGTGCCTCAGCTCAATTCATCTGTAAAATGGAGATAATAAATGAAGTTATCTCATCTTGTGACTGTTACCATAATGAGTCCATACAAAAGGTAGAACAATATCTAATACATACTAAATTTTTGGATGTGTTAGTTTTTCATCATCGTGACAAGATACCTCATAGAAACAATTTAAAAGATTTATTTTGGCTTATTGTTTCAGAGGGTTCCATTCAGTCAGCTGGATCCATTACTTTTAGGTCTCTGGCAAGGCAGAAACATCATAGAGGAAAAGCATGTTAGAAGAAAGCTGCTCATTCATCACCTCATGGCAGCCAGGAAGAAAGAGGAGTATGCTCGTACTAGCTAACTTTCTCCTTCCTCACCTTTCAATCCATCAGGGCCACCACCTATGGTGGCGCTGCCTACTTTCAGGATGGGTCTTCTTCCCCTGCCTCAAAAATTCAGCCAGCAATGTGCTTTATTAATCTCCTAGGTATCTCTCAATCCAATCAAGTTGACAATTGAAATTAACGATCTTATCAGAATTGCCATTATTATTCTTGCCTGCATCTGTATGGATAGAGTGACTCAAATTAAAAATGACAGGAGTTTGGGACTGGAGAAATGGTTTGGCAATTAAGAACACTAGATGCTCTTGCAGAGGACCTGGGTTCGATTTTCAGCAATCAAATGGTGGCTAACAACTGTCTGTAACTCTAATTCCAGGGGCTCCAACACACTCTTCTGGCTTCCAAGGGTATTGCACAAATGTGGTGCCCTTACATACATGCAAGCAAACACTTATATACATAAAATTAAAAATAAACAGCCGGGTATGGTAGTGCATACCTTGAATCCCAGCACTTGAGGGGCAGAGGCAGGCAGATCTCTGTGAGATCAAGGACAGCCTAACCTACATAGTAAGCTCCAGGCTAGCTGGGGCTATTTATCTTGAGACCCTATCTCAAGATAAATAAATAAATAAATATTTTAAATGATAGGGATTAGACTAGAAGAGCTGTATTGCAACAGAAATCTGGTTTTTGACAGGAAAACCCTGCAATCTTACATTAGACTTTGGCTTTAGGTTGTGGTTGCCTTGGAGACACCTACCCATTAGTACCTTCCATCAGACCTCCCTCATTCCTTCCTCCTGTTGGTGCCCTTTGTAATGTCTATGACATAATCAGGATACTAGGATGCCTTCTCATTGAGGAACGTCTTTCAGTCCTTTGCTAAAGCTCAGCTCTAGATCCATCTGGGTCACCATAAGAGCACATGGTCTCTCGGTTCTAGCCTCTGATCAAATGTCACCTGCAGTCCTCCATGACCCCTTATCTGCTGGGCCAGAACCAAATGAGGCAAACAAGGCACCTAAGGATGCAGGTTTTACAGAGGCTACATCATGCAAGCACCAACTCTGTCCTTTCAGGACCCTGAGACTAGACAGCTACTTAAATTTTTCATTCTAGAGGTCTCACTCTGTGTATCCTAACCTGTGTGTCTGCCGTGTTTTCTTTCAACTCTACTTTTCACACCTAGATTTTCACAACATGTCATCATATATTTGTTTATTGCTTTCAGACTACATTGCAATGCAGTTGCATACATCCAGGACATGTACCTCTAACACTG